ACACAGCCACTCATCCAGGTCCCTGTGGCCAAGACACAGCATACTCTGTGATTCATGATGATTGTGTATCTCAAAGGGAAACATATGGCAACAAAGCGGTCATAGGCCATCACTGTGTACAGGAAGCCCAATATGCAACCAATACAATGATAGAAGTGTTGTACAACACAGCCCTGGAAAGAGATTCCCCCACCCCGTCCTGAGAGATATGACAACATCTTGGGAGCTGTAGTGGAACAGAAACCTAAGTCAAAGATGGAGAGGTTGCCCAAGAAAAAGTACATGGGTGTGTGGAGTTTTGGAGAGGTAGTGATTGCAGTAAGAATGAGAAAGTTTCCCAGCAGGGCACAGGCATACATTGTTGAGAAAATGAAGAGCAGGACATTCTCCAGGCCCTCTGTCTCAGGGATGCCCAGCAAGGTAAATTCTGTCACCATAGTGTGGTTTGTCATGTTTATGGATGAATCAGCTCCTGGAAGTCTGTGGAAAGACATTCTTGGTGAAATTTATTCTGTATGTGGATTAGAAGAGTTTAAATCACAGGGATGGAGTGAAAAAAGATGCAGACATTTACAGATAGACGTTGTAAACAGAACTGCCTTTCCTGATGATGGAATGTCTTTCTTCAGTTAGGTTTCTAATGGGATACAATGCTCTTTAAAATTCTTACCCAGAAGATCATTTACAAGGGCAGTTGCAGATGGCGTCCTTCACAATCTCACCCAGAAAGTAACTTTCAAGACTAGTGTCCTCTCTTTTCATCTTTATAAAAATGGTTCCATACCATTATTCAAGATGCTCTATTGTTCTTCTAGAATTATCAAAAAGACTCTAGAAATGAACATGTAGTGGAGAAGGGGATACAGGAGTGGGATAAGGATAAGGAAGAGTTGGACATGAGCATTATCAGGATACATCACATACAGTTGTGAAATTGTCCCAGAACAAATTTAACTAATGAACGATTATTTTTTCCAATCATGTTAGCAGCCAGCTTCAATTACATAGGCTAATGAGAATCAGAAACTACAGTATTTAGAACAAATTTACAATGCAAAGGATATACTTTGCAATTTTAAGCTCTAAGTGTGGACCTTACTGAAACTGGAATTTGAATAAATTCCCTAAATTTCTGTTACTCAGCAGTGTGCACATGTGGTCTCTCCTCTTTGGATAAGGGAAGATTTGTGGTTGTACGTGGGATTATCCTGTCACTTGTATGAAGGGAAATTGAGAATAACATAGTGACTGAAGGCCCTGTAAGCACTTCTTATGTGGTAGCAGTATTTTGCATACTGTAATTATCTCTTTGTTCTTTCTGAAACATATACTATACATCTCACATATACACAAATGAACACATACACACATACATTGAGAGAGAGAGAGAGAGAAAGAGAGAGAGAGAGAGAGAGAGAGAGAGAGAAGGTCCCAAAATGTCATTATTTGTATTGTATTGCATTTTTAAAGGAAATTTATCACATATGTCCCAGGAAGTAAATGAAGGATGTGTAGAAGTTCCAAAAGGCAATATCAAGAATACTTTATTAGACATCTACATGTAAGGAACAGGAATATAAACACCAGACTTTAAACAACAAAATTAAATGTATTAAAAATGTATGTATTGTAACTGCCCATAACAAAGAAATACTGTATTCAGTGTCTTAGGTTCCTATGTGAATATAAGAATGTTTCGTCATATGGTGACATCCATTGACATGTCTATTCTTGATTATGATCATTTCTAGTTTTTGTCTTTTGAAAATTTCTTATGTTTTTATTTATTTCAGTTTCAATACAGTGTGAACCTTAAATTATAGGTTCACTCTTAAATTTTATTGCCTAAATCTCTACCCACCTACCTCCTTTCATATTATGCCCTTAGTGGATGAGAGACTGAGCACTCAGATAAATGTTAAGGACACATCTGGGTACTTACTGAGACAACAGAAGGCCCAATGTGATGGCACTATTGAGTGCTGTCTTCCTTTCTTCCTCCAGTAGATTTGAAGAGACTGACTGTCCTTTAATATGTAAGTAGGGACTGAGAATTATTCCTCCTTTGCATCACTTTTCAGTGGAATGACATGAGTCTAAGTGTGCTTCAACTCCCTGGCAGCAATTTTCTGTTTGGTTCCAGGGCCTGCAATAAGTTGCAACAAAGATTTTAAATAATCGTGATCTTCCTTTGGGTATTAATCCCAAGAGGAAGGAGTATTATTGAGAAAGCATCTCATTAACTTTTTGGTTTAATTGTTTTGTGGTTAAGGGAGGTTATTTTAGTATCTTTAGTGAACACTTCTATGGACTAAGCTATTAAAAAATGTTCACTTGAAACCTCAAGCATACCTCTTGGATATTTAACCTGTTATTAAAGATTATAAAATCTTGTAATTCTGAATATAGAATTTCTGATCTATATGCTGATGTAGGGTTCTCTGAAGGTGGGAGAACTGCTGTCTCAGAAAATGTTCTCTTAGCTGGGATCTGTAGAGTCAATTAGCAGACATGGAGGGGAAAGTCAAAGCAGTTTCCCAAAGAGGCATTGGCATGGACGCTGTGCATGCAAGGAAGGAGCTCAACATGTTCAGAGAATTTAATAGTGGGGGATGAAAATCAGAGCCTCTATTTTTAGTTTCTGAGGAGTCATAGAGAGTAGGATTATAGATTTAGTCTTATGCAGTGGTATCACGAATCTGCCAGAGTGATAGATAATATTCAAGTTCAACCTGGGGAGCTTGGTAGTACATGGCCTCAAAATATATGATCAATCTTAATTTGAAGGGTATACTTTTCCATTTTTTCCTTGCTATAACAAAATTCCATGGATTGGGTATATCATAAAAGCAAGGCATTAATTTAGTTAATCGATCTGGAGGGAAGGATACATGCAAAATTCAAAAACCACAGATGAAAATAATTCCATGAAATTTGTGTGCAACAATAAATACACCAGGGACTTGTTTCTCTTAATTGGTTCTTTAAGAAAGGACATGACTTTCATTTTCAGTTTTGTCAGAAGTCTGACAAAGAGGCTTTGTGAGAGAAACAATTGAACAAGCTAACAAATGACAAATATGATATTTCCACAATGGATGGGATGATTTTCCCCTAAAGATGAGTGAACTGCTTGACTATGCAAGGGAAGTGCTTAAGAAGACATTAGTGCCAAGGCGGACAGTGAGTGCAGGAGTAGGAGCTGCTATGACTCCCTGGAACTGAATCTATAGCCTGGAAGCTCAGTAGACTATGATGGAAATCTATGACCAGTACCTGGGTGACATGGTTATGACTGAGTGCATGACCACCATATACAAGGAACATGGAAAGGATCATGCTTAGTCCCAGAAGCATAATGTGGTATTCCATCTTAATCAGATGATCCTGGAGCGATCCAATATACTTAGAAACATTTCTAGAAAAAAGAAAAAAAGATCCTTGGCAAGTCATTTTGGAAAACATCCACCTGCGACTCAGCCAGGAACTGTATCAGTGTTGATGAGGTTAGTATTAACTTCATTGCCTTTGTCATGAGGTGAGGTAGCATGTGAGTTTCACCACAATCTATCTTTTCTCATTCACTACTGACACTAAAAATTTAACACTTGGAAAAGATAATCAATTGTGATCTCTAGTGGGATACAGTCCCTAGACATAATGAAATAAATATATCAGATCTTAACATTTTTCAACCCTAGTTCTTTCTTTTCCATTTTCCTAGTACAGGTGGACACATCTTTAAAATGCTGCCCTATTTGCCATCTTGAATCATTAGGAGCTCTTCCCTGACCTTTGTCCAGGGAATTCTGGGTAAGCAATAGAAATATCTGGAGACTCAAGTGATAGATACTTTCAAACAATGAGGCAAAAACTAGAAAGTTATCCCTTTTCCTGGCTGACAATAGAGTTAATGATATCTGGGAACTTCATGAAGAAGGCACTTAGTGACCCACCAGAGCAGCTGTTCCTCCTGGATATGGCCAGCAAAGTGATATTGAGCACATCTAGGGTGGTCAAATGAAATTTCTAAAAACTATCATTGTATCCTAGAAACATTCATGGGGAGTGCAAAGGGCATTCTCCTCAATAGTATACTCCAAAGGCTGATAAATTGCAGAGTTGAGATGATAGGAAAATGAAAGAGTTGGTGAAATAAGACAGAAAGACAGAAATGGCCTTGAGGTGGACACAGCAGGTAGAGAATGCATTCTGTCTTCACTTTGCTGAACAGATTCTCAGAATGCCAGTCCCAATGCCACACAAACTGAGGAGAAGCACCATAGCCAAAAGGTCAACACTGATGGAATCCACCTTCTTGGTCAGTCAGCTATCAACACAAGCCAAGTCTAACATTGCAGGAATGTCAACAGGAGCCTAGCATGGCTGACCTCCAAGAGGTCCAGCAAGCAACTGAAAGATTCACATTCAAATACTTACACTCAACCAATGAACCGAAGCCGGGGACCCCTATGGTTGAATTACCGCAAGGCTGGAAGAAGCTGAGGAGTAGGAGGACCCCTTAGGAAGACCAGCAGTCTCAACTAACCTGAACCCCTGAGATTTCTCAGACACTGAGCCACCAACCAGGCAGCATACACCAGCATATACAAGCTGATATGAGACCTACGGTACAGCAGAGAACTGCCTGGTTTGGCCTCAGTGAGAGAAGATTCACCTAACATTTGAGAAACTTGAGGCCCCATGGAGTGTGGTTGTCTGGTGGAGTGGGCGTGGGAGGTGGAGACATTCTCTTGGAGTCAGGGAAGGAACTGTAGGAGGGTGAAGTAGGAGCAGAATAAAGACTGGACTGTAAAAAAATATTAAAACCTAACAATAATAATAATAAATGCAGGAATGTCACAGAACGGGTGGTTATAATTTGGCCCAAAGCAGGTAAACTAAAAAGTTAAAAAAAAATCAGAATGTCGGGATGAAGACACCCTACAGGGATCAGATATTTTTATTTCATTTGTTAGTCTGTCTTCTTTATTTTCACTCTCTGGATGTGTATAGACGATGTCTATTGAAGGGTCCAGGGGAAAGTTTATACTAATGAGAATTGAATTATGATTTTTCACTGTGCATTCAGACATAGAACATTAAAGGAAAAAAGTGAAGGACTTTGTTGGTCCTATCAAGTTGGACTAACAAAGAGCCTCTATTACACTCATTTTGTGCAGATTACTCAGAGCCTTCATTTTTATCCCTGCGTTTCCGACCAACTATTTTAAAAAATTTCTAGTCTGATCCATTTATTTGTACCTGCTCACAATTCTCCTAACCATAACTACTCTTTTCCCTCATAGCTACAATTAATCCTTCATATTTTCTTTCTAGTACGATGTACTAACTCAGTATTGACTAAACTATAGTAAAGAATCCTGAGCTTATTAATAGACCATATTTTCAAAGTGGCCACTGGTACTTTGTATAATCAGATGTTTTGGTG